GGTCATGATCTCACAGTTCGTGGGTTCGAACCCTGCGTCGGGCTCTGTGCTGATGGCTAGCTCAGAGCCTGGAGCCTGTCTCCAGATTCTGTCTCTCCCTCTCTCTCTGTGCTTCCCCTGCTTGCACTGTCTCTCTCGGAAAATAAATAAAAAACATTTAGAAATGTACTAAAAAAGAATATCAGGAGAACAGGATTCTGGTTCTCTTGGGACTCATTAACACTATGATTTCTTATTCCCCAGGCTTGTAAACATCTACATGATCTGGCCCTGCCCCTCTCTCCTATCTTTTCCCTTACCAAACTTCCTCTCCACCTAGCTCTTATAACCCCTGAAAACACCAAGGTGTTCTTACCCCAGGGCCTTTGCACTTACAGTCTCCTCTTCTTAGAATGCTATTCCGCCTGATCTCACTTCCTTTAGGTCTTTGGTCAACAATCACCTTCTCAGAGGCAATTCTATTTAAAGGCAAAAGTCTTCCTTCACTCTTCCTCCTCCCCCACCCCAACCCGTTTATTTTTCTCCAGAGCACTGCTCACCCCCCCCCGAAATGTCATATCTCTGCCTATGTTTTATTTTCTGTCTCCCTTGGTAGAGCTCGGGCAGGAAGTTCATCTTTTTCAGCAACGTATCCCCAGAGCCCAGAACAACCTGGCACATAACAGATGTTTATATGTATCTGGAGACTGAATGAATGAATGAACAAACTGGCTCTTGACAGTCCGGGGTGCTTGGTGAGCCAGCTTTGCAGGAGTCATTATGGCTGCCTATCAGATCCATGGCCCCCGCTCAGGCTTCCCCATTCCTCCTCCAGCTGGGCTCTCTGTGAATGGCATCCCTACCCACTCAGGCTCAAAACCTTGCCACCACTTCTCATTCCTCCATCCCTCGAGCACCTGTAATGAAACCACTGCCAATTTTGGTGACCCTCTGGCCTCTTGCATCAACTCCTTTCTCTCTTCATTCTTACAATGATCCCCACTCCTTATCTCTCACTACAGTCATTATTTCCCTGCCAGCAGGTCCTCCCCTCCGATCTGTTCTCCCCAGGGGAGCCAGGATGAGTTTCCTTATGGCCAGGCTCGATCACGTCTCTCCTATATTCATAAACTAAAGACCGGGGTGGCAACTGCAGCTCTGATCATGATCCCACGATTTGTGGGTTCAAGCCCAATATCAGGCTTTGCTCTGAGTGCACAGAGCCTGCTTCAGATTCTGTCTCCCTCTCTCTCTGCCCCTACCTCGCTTGCACTCTCTCAAAAATTAAAAAAAAATTTTTTTAATTAAGAAAAAAAGAACCTAAAGACCAATCTTTTAGGTTGGCATTCAATGCTCCCAGAACTGCCTCCACCTTCCTACCTAGCTTTCCTTCTCACAACTCCTCAGTTATCCTTTTGGCTCTAGTTGGAAGGAACCACTTTTAGTTTCTACATGTGCCTTAGAAGCCCCCACTGCCAGTTGCCGCTTCCAATACTTGAAATACTTTCCCTTCTTTCTTCTAGTGTCCTCATCATTTAGACCCAACTCAAATGCTACACAGCTTCTCCAAGAAGCGGTTCCCGATTTTCCGGAGGAATAAAATCCATCCTTTTCAATTCTTTCCCAAAGGTCATCTGCTTCTCTTTGGGGGCCGGTGTCAGGAAAGCACAGGCAACATGAGGTAGAAGAAAGAGTTCAGAATCCGGATTCAGATGATCTGAACTGGAGGCAGAACTCTCCAGCTCTGAGACTTATGAAGTATGCACCCTTAGGTAAATTAAACTGAGTCTCAGCTTCCCCATTCGTGCAATGGGAACGGTCTCACTAGGACTATCATGGGTGTGTTAGGAGAATTAAATGTAAGTGACAGTGTAAGAAATGCTTTGGCACCATATAAATTACTAAATTCAGTCATGATCAGCAGCTAAACAACTGATAAACCAAAGTGTGACTTGTCCCAGGGAGGATTCATGGTGGCCTCTTGCTGGCTGAACCCTAAGTCTGGGAATAGATCAGTGGGGAAGGGATTTTTTGAGGCAGAGGGACTCTGAGGCCCTAAAACCCCATATCCTTAGGCAATATGAAGAGGGGAGAAGTGGAGGGTATATCCACAAAGCTGGGGCCCTAATGGTATTAATAGCTACTGATTCTGGAGCTTTTCCTGTGCCCCAGGCACTGTGCTAAGTACCCTACATAAATTATCTCATCTCATTTTATTCCCTCACAGAGTAATAGAAGAGAAAAGTCGGGCCCACAGCAGTTATATAAATAAGTGCTCCCCTCCCCCGCCCCACCCTTTCAACAGTTCAGACCTGAAAGATACCCTGAAAATTCCCAATCCAATGATCCTATTTTTCAGATGGAGAAACCGAGACCCCAGAGAGGTTATGGGGTTTTCTAAAACTGTCCAGCCAGGGAGGATGAACCTGGGCCTAGAACCTAGATCCCCTCACTCGCAGGGTGGGGGGCCTCCGCTGGGCAAAAATCCAGGGGTATCACTCATTTTGACGTGTACCTCAATGGAGGTTCTGGAGGGCAAAGCCGTTTATTGGACTACAATGTGGGCGGTGGTCCCTGGAGTCACATCACCTAGTCACCCTGGCTCTGCTCTGTGCCAGGCTGCTCACCCCACCCAGGAAGGAAGCTCTTGAAGGAGTCTCTTCAGGACCCCAGAGACTGAACACTGCCCTCCTTGCCAACTATCTCATTCAACGGAATCTCCTCAAAATTGACTGACTTCATCCATTCACCATTCAGCTTGCATTCCTTCAACGTACCTCTCGTACCTCTCGGGGCATCCTGCCTGCGCCAGGCGTCGGGCTCAGATCTGGGGACACCCAGCTGCCCTTGAGGGAGCCTTGCCCTGAGTTACCACCTGAGCCTGGTGAGGCTGTAACTCAAGCTTCCCCCTTAAGCTTCATCAGCGACACCAAGAGGCCACACTCAACAGACATAAAGGAGGAAGGGGTGGCCTGACGTCAAGGACTTGGGGACCTCCACAAAGGGATGATGAAAAGGGCCTGGCTGGAGTAGAAGACCCAGGCCCTTAAGGAGGAGGGGAGAGTGGGATGGCATACAGTCAGGTCAAGGTGGGGCAAGGGGTGGACTCTTGTATGCCACGTCAACTGGTCCAACCGAGGACACAGCTCAGTGACTCCCAGGAGAACCCGACACTATGGAATCTGATCTCAGGCCCGGAGCTGCCTCATTCTCCCAAATTAAATCCCAAACCTGGGGTGTTTGCTTGCATGAGAGAGCTCTCCTTTGAGGCTGAGGGAGGCAAACTGAAGACCAGCTCGTATCCTCCCTGCCCGCCCCCCCTCCCCCCCCCAGTAAGGATGGTAGCAAATGAATGGCACCTGCCGCTCCAAGTAGAGACAGGGTTGGAATTATAAAGACCTCCCTGGTACACTCAGATGAATTTTGGGGTTCTGAGGCTTCAATGGGTATAGAATTGAATTATGTAGGAGGAAAATGAATATGAAAGCCAGAGAGCCTAGATTCTAACGCAGGCTTTGTCACTAGCTCTCTGGTGACCTTGGTCAAGCCACTTCACTGGACCTCAGTTTCCCCATTTGTAAAGTGAGGGCGTTAAATGAGTTCCAAAGGTTCATCTGATCCTGACCCTCTAAGTTACGTGATCCTTGCTAAGGTAAGCCCCTCAGGGCTCTGACCTGGACAGTCTCGGGTTTTGCAGGAGCCTGGGCCTCATCTAGGAAAAAGGGGAATGCTGGGGGAGGGGAATGAGCTGGGCTCTTATTTGGGGGGGTGGGTGGGGAGCTGGTTGTTTAAGCTACACGGTTGGTCCGGGGGAGGCGAAGCGAAGGGAAGGCTGGGAGCCGCGTTTTACAGGCCAGCAGGCTAGAGGCGATCTCCAGCCTCCCTCCCGGGTTTCAGACCCTGGAGAGGCAATGCAGCCAAAAGCCACGCACCAGCCCCGGCTGCCGAGGCTCGGACCCGGGACCACCGTCTCGATCCTTCCCCGGAACCGTGCACGAGCTTCGTGGGGAGTGGCTGCTGCTCTCTCTCCCCAGTACCTGCCGGCGGGGACCCCTCCCAGGCGCGGGGCGCCCCTCCCCTCCCCCAGTCCGGGGGCGCAGGGAGCCCCATGGGGGCGTGGCGGTGGCGGGCGCTGGCTTCCCAGCCCTGGGGGCTGAAAGAGGTTTCTGTCTTGGGGCCGCCCCGGGAGGGACCCCACGCCCTCCACCTACCAGCTCCCCACACAAAGGCGCCCACGGAGGCGCCGCACTTACCGGCCAGAGCGGGCTCCGGGCGCTGGCGAGCGGGCGGGCGGGAGGATGTGCGCGCGCGAGTGTGCGTGTGTCTGCGTGTGTTCCTGTGTGTGTCTGCGCGAGTGTGTGTGTGTGACGGGGGCCGCGCCGAGCTCTGTGCGTCTGCGTGTGCGGGGGCGTCCGTCCGTCGGTCCGTCCGCCCGGCGCTCCGTCCCGCGCTCCGTGCGCGCTCCCTAGCCCGGCCGCCCCACCAAATGCGCTTGGGCTGCGGAGTCGCGGGCGCAGCCGCCGGGTCGGCTCGGCACCCCCCAGCCCCGGCTCCGCCCCGCCCCCGGGCGGCCTGGCGCCTCTCCCCGGGGATTGCGCAGGGCCCGCGGGGCTGGCGGGCGGGGCGCCGGAGCTCCGGCAGCGCCCAGGGCCCAAGCGGGGCCGGCTCTCCGACCCTTAGTCCCCGACCCAGATCTCAGGCGCCCCCTCCCCCCTACTCCGTTCGGAGTCCCCGCGCGCGCGCCGCCCCCGCGCGGAGGTTGCCTGGACAGGGAGGGCGGGGAAGCGCGAGAACCGCATGCATTTCATTCATGATTTTCTCTTCACGGGAGCCCCGGGCCCGGGCTGCGCCTATTCGGCGACCGCCAGAGGGACCCCAGCGGGGCCGTACGCACGGAACCCAGTGCGGGACGTACAGTCAGACAGATGGGGGTAGAGGAAAGCGAGACAAAGGGGTCAGTGCTGGGGGAGGGGGGGCGGGGGGAGTATGCATGGAGAGAGTGCTGTGGCGCTCCCCGATGTTGTTCGCACGATGCCAACATCTGCACAGAGTGGTTGCATACCCGGGCGCACACAGTGCCGGGTGCCCAGGACCTGCTCCGGGTCTCGGAGGAGGCACCTGCCTTCCCTCTTCCCTCTTCAGTCCCTAGGGATGCACCTCCCTCCACCAGGTCTCTCCCGCCTGACGCTCGCCGCGGGGCGCGCACCTGTCTTGGCTTTCTCGTGGGCACCGTGAGCCGGGACGCGCAAGGAGCTGCCCACGCACCCCACAATCCCACATTCCCCAGGCTGGCACCCTGCCGGCCGGAGGTTCCAGATGTTCCACCCGGATGGGGGCTTTTTGAGGCGGCAGGCTGCACCCAGAGCGGGGATCCTACGCTCCATTTTTACATGGGGAAACCGAGGCGCACCACCACACATCTGCTACCCTGGTTGCAGCCACCACCCTCTTTCGTCTGGATTTCTGCAATAGCCTCCTGACTGGCCTCCCTGCTTCCACCCTTGGCCCCCTGCAGTTGATTCTCTACACAGCAGTCAGAGCCATCCTTTTAAAACGTAAGTCTACTTTACCGGAAATCCTACAGTGGATTCATTTCATCCAAGCGAAAGCTAAAACCCCTATAACAGCCTGCAAGGCTTCTCAAGCGCTGGCTCCCTTTGAACTCTCTAACTTCACTTCCTTCCACTCCAGTCGCAACAGCCTTTTTAAATGCATCACCAACCAACATGGCACCCACTCTGGCCTCTGGACATTTGCATGGCTGTTTTCTCTGCCTGGAAACTTCCCCTAAGGTAGTCACATGGCTTGATCCTTTACCTCTTTAATGTGTCTCCTCCAAGAGGCCTTCTGTGACGATCCTATTTTAAATTGCAGGCCCGCTCCCCCTATGTTCTCCATGGTAGTCATGACCTTTGTTGTGCGTTTCCTGCGGCTCACTGGTCCTTCATTGCCAGCTCTCACCTCTGTCCTTTGGCCTTCCAGTGTCCAGGCTCACCAAAATTCTATTCTCTAAACAAACTATGTTGTTCCCATGTCTATCCTTTGTTCGTGCTGTGCTTTCAGCCTGGAAAGCCATGCCCCTGTGTTTTACCTAGTTTGTAAGGTCCAGTTGAAATACCTCCTTCTCCATGGAGCCTTCACTCATAAACCCAAGGATACTCAGTACTCATTTCCTTTTTGTCTGCTGTGATAGCAGTTCCTTGTCTCCACCTCCCCCCCACCCCCCCGCCCCCCAAACACACTATAAACTCCTGGGAAAGGGCTGGGTCCCTTATCTCTCTCATCAGTACATATTTGTGGATCAAAGGCAGTGATTGAAAGGCCTAGATCTTGATAAGTCTCTTTTCCTAGGAGGGGCACAGAGAGGCTGGCTAGGTCGTCTTCTTATCCTTAAGTAGTTGCCTGTGCCTGAGGGGAAGGATCAAATGTCTGATAACCAGGCCTTGTCGGTTGGTCTTAAGGAAGGAGTAGACATGTCAGTTGCTGCTCAAGGTCTTGCTCTCCCTCCCTGAGAGCTGTCCTTCCGCATAAGGCGGATTCTCCGTAATGGCGACAATGTAACAATAGCAGCGGCCATGGCCATAAATGATCGCTTAGTATGCCCTAGGCACCGTTTTGTGTATTTTCAGTGCACCGCTCTATTTAATCTTCATGGTAACTTTGGGAGGCAGGCATTTTGATACCCCCATTTTCAGAAGAGGAACCAGAAAGAGTAAGTGACTTAAGGTCATACAGTTGATACGTGAAGGGTGTGTGTTTCGAATTCAGATCTAGCTAATTCCCAAGCCCAAGTTCATAGAGCAGGGGTGCCTTAACAGGGAAGGCCCTGGGGGCCATTGGAGGAGATGGGGGAGGAAAAGGGCTCTGAGAGCCTCTGCAAGATCAGCCCGGCCCAGATTCTTTTTGAACCTGGCTCAGGAGTCACAGAAGCAAGACACTCCAGTAGGGCCAGGACCTCACAGGTTTCTGTCAGTGGTGCTTGGGATGCTCTGGGTGGAGGCTACTTATTGCCCTTCATAAAGGCAACTCCAGAAGGCCAGTGCTGCTTTGCAGACCTTCATAGCTGGCTGCTCTGAGTTCCGAGCCCATCCCTAGCGGAAAGAGGTGATTAACAGTGTTCATCTCAAAGAGCTACAGTGAGGCACTGTGATGATATATATGATAATACACTTGCATGGTATATATCTACATGAATATACCTATGAATTAGGAGAGCCTCAAAAAATGATCTGTCTCCTTTGCTCCTTTTAGGGCCTTTGTATCACATAGGGATAGAGCTAAACTAGTCTTGTCCCCTTGTTTCTATCCTGTACATCCTTTTCCTATTGAAGAGTTTCAGATCCCCCGCTGTCCGGTGAGTGTTACCCTGGGGTGCAGTTAAGGAAGGAAAGTCTAACTTTTTTTTTCATTTTTTTTTTTTTTTGAGAGAGGGAGCATGAATGAAAGTAGGGGAGGGACAGAGAGAGAGGGAGACACAAAATCCGAAGCAGGCTCCAGGCTCTGAGCTGTCAGCATAGAGCCTGACGTGGGGCTCGAACCCATGAGCTGTGAGATCATGACCTGAGCCAAAGTCTGACGCTTAACCAACTGAGCCACCCAGGCACCCCAGTCTAACTTTTATTAAAGGCTTTCAAAACAAGATATTCCCATGTTATATCCCTGTATTCTCTCCTTCCATCTGCATGAGTACATTAGGAGGGAGGCATTGTTACTACCAATAGGGAAACTGAGACCCAGAGAGGTCCAGGGGCCTCCCCATGGCCACAGCACTCCCTAATTAACGACAGGAGTGAGATTCTGGCCTATATCTGACTCAGTGCCCTGAGCAGCACCTGTCTTTCTCTTAACCCCATCAGCGTGATGAGTGAGCCCACCTATATCCTTTTTCTTCTCTGATGGAAAAGGAGAGTTCCTTGAGTCCCGTGATGTTGAAGTCGATGGGGGGTTGGGAGGATTTAGGCTTATTGGGTCACTTTGTATGACTCATTTACCCTTTCTGGAGGCAGGGACGAAGAGAGGTTTAGGAAAGAGAAGGAGGAGAGAAAGATGGTCTGAGTAACCAGAGAATGTCTTGCTGGTGGCTTTTGATGGGCTCTTAGAGATTAGAGTCAATATTTCTTGCTTTTGGTCTCACTCGGAATTCACTCGACTGATAATGAAATGTTTTGCTTCAGTGAAAATGTTTCCCTATCCAGATTTTATTTATTTACTTACTTATTTATAACCCACCCCAATCCACAAAGGATTTGAGGTAGCTTACCACAGGAACAGAAACCATAAAACAATGTTAAAATATCAATAAGGATAGAGAATCAGGACCAAGGAAAATGTAAATACACTTTGAGAGACAGGATCAAGGCTTGGTAATTACCGCTGATTTTTATCGAGCTCTTCCTGAGTGCAAAGGAATTTGTGTACATTGTTTTATTTAATCCCTAAAAGAGCTCCATCAGGTCAGTGCTACCATGATTTTCATTTTGAGGCATAGGGGACTGAGGGGGAGAGAGATTAACTATGACGCCCAAAGCCCCATAGCCAGTGAGCAGTAGAGCCAATATTTGAATCTAGTTTGATTTGGGAACTCATACCCTTCACCACTGTCCTGCCCTGCCTCCCCAAGGGACAAAAGACCATAAATATGCAGACCACAAGGGCCTCTAGTGTACTGAAATTGAGCCCCAAAGCCCGTTCTGATCTTCTTGGATGTCAAAAAGAGAGGGAAAAAGTTAGCACATGGAACTCATGTCCTCACAGCGTTCAAGTCTTTGGTCAGGCATACTTCCTTGATGCGGTTCACCTTGACCTCTGTCCTTAATAGCGGAGGCTGATTCTTCCCCTTCAGCTGCCCCAATACCCCTTCACCTTTTCCTTCTATGTTGGCACATTTCACCTCCTCACATATTGGGTAATTTGTAAGCCATATTGTATATTTGATATAACATAAGGTATCCTTAACATATTCTTTATTAACACCTTTATTTATGAATCTTTTTTATTTTAATTTTAAATTAGAGAGCTTATCTGTTTAATATACTCACTGTTTCATTGTCCATCTTCCTCCACTGGAATACAAAGTCCACATGGGCACACATTGTTGACTGGAACACTTGATAGATCCCAAGGGTCACAGACAATGCCTGCTATATAGTAGGTGCTCAATAAATGTTTGCTGAACGCTTGAATGATTATTTCAGAGAGGAAAAAAGAGACCAGTATGTCTAAACTGGCAAAGTAGGTCATTTTTTTTTCTAGCTCATATTTTCTTTCCTTCCTTCCTCCTTTCTTTTCTTCTTTATTTTCCTCCTGTTCGTTTCCACAAAGAATTCAAGGTAGCTCTAGCACTAAGCTCTCAGAGCAAGTCTTCAGGAAACTTTTTTTGATGGTAGACTCTTAGGGACCCTGTGGCCAATGACCTTGGTATCATTGTTATAGCAAATGCATAAGTGGGATTCATGAAGCTGATTTTGATGAGGTCTCTCAACAAAAGCTGGGCATTATCCCACATCTAAATTGGTAAAGGTAATTCATTTAGGGGTCTGGGAATGGTTTCCAAGTAGCATTCCCAAGGGCTTGGGGTTTGGAGCAGATGCTGTGGGGATGGAGATGATGGGAAAATGAAAAGCGGAGCATTTGTGTGAAATAATTGACTTAAGAGAAGAGGACATCTTTGTGTTCCTAAGAACTCACCTCTGGAGTCGTATTTCCTGGCCGCAAGCCTGAAGAGTGAAAAGCCAAGGACATTAACAAGGTTTGTCAGAGGAGAAGCTGAGCTGAGCCCAATTGCTAGGGTGGATGAGGGTTGGGGGTGTGATGTGATCTGGCTGTAGGAGCTGGCCTCAGATCTGGGCCAAGCCTCTGGGAGCCGCAGACACCAGCCTGTCAGCTCAAGGTGAAGGCCAAGGGCACCTGGCTGCCAATCTCAGGAAGAAACATCAGAAACACTTGTGTCAGGAGGTGTGGGAGCCAGAACTTTGTCTCTCTCTGGGATCCTACGAAGCAGATTCATTCACCAAATATTTTATGGAGGGCATTCTCTGAGCTGGCCACTATTCCAGAGGCTGGGTTCCTGTTAGAGAACATGACGGTCAGCTTCCTGGCTCTCATGGAGTGTATGTTCTAGTGCCTATGAACCAGGTTAAAATAATGAATAAAAGGGTAATTTCAGATAGTGGTGAGTGCAATGAAGGAAAGGAAAAGAGGGCGAGGTGATGGAGAGGGAAGGCAGAGGGAGAGCCACTTCTGACTGGGTGTTCAGGGAGGGCCACTCAGAAGCAGAGACTTGAGTCACAAGAAGGAGCTGACCATGCAGAGTAGGGGAAGGGCTTTCCAGGCAGAACTTCCTCTTGTCGGCACAGCAGGGAGGCCAGGGAGAGATGAGGTGGGAGAGGAGGCTGGGGAAGTTCGGGGTTCATTCTCATGTGCTGGGGAGCTATAAGAGGTTTCTGCTGGGGGGTGGGGGGAATGATGGGACTTGACTTGAACCTGACATCCTAGAGAGCAGCAGCAGCAGAGAAGCACTGAGAATCCCGACCCTCTGCTCTCATGTCAAGTCCAGTGCTTCCCAGGATGGCTGCATCTCAGAATCATTTGGGAGAACAATTCAAAACATACAGATTCTCGGGCCCCTCCCCCTAAGCCCCCCCCCTTCCCCAGCCCCTACAGTCTGACTCAGTAGGATGGGGCGGGGTTTGATCTTAAGAAAGTTCCCCAGAAGGTTCTGCTGATTGGCTGGAAACAACCAGCTAGTCAAGACCCTCCACTTCAGGAAAGAGTCTACTGAGCACAAGAAGGAGAAATGCCTTGTCCGAGGTCACACAGATGTTAATGGCTGATCAGTTTCCTTACCCCGGAGCAGTGATGGCCCCAGGTCTCTGGCAACAAGCCACAGAAGTGACTATTGGCTAACTTAAGCACAGGGGAATTTGTTGGAAGGTCATGGCAGAGCTTGTGGTTGGAAGGGAAGGCTGAAGGACCATGCTTGGAAAGGTGGGGTCAGGTTTGTAGGGTTGACACATCCCCACAGTCACATCCAGGTGTCGCCATAGAGATGCCTGAGCACCTAACGTGGTTTTCTTTCCTTCCTGCCACTCAAGACTCAAAGTCCTGGGAGAGTGAGAGTTTGATTGGCTGTGTTATGGTTGTAGACTCACCCACTAGCTAGAGGAGGGCACACCTTGATTGACAGTCCCATCCAGACTTCTCCCAAGGGGAAACCAGGGGCCTGTTACCACAAAAGTCCGTTACATCTGGCACCTCAGAGGGTTGTAAAGATTACTCATCAGTGTCGTCATTACTATCATCATAGTAACACTCATGGATAGTGTGTCAGGTACTATTCAAAACATGTTACATACATTTGCTAATTTAACTCATACTTTAAGGCTATGACGCAGATACTTAAGTAGGTACTGAGCTAGGAGAGTGAAACACAGAGAAGGTATGTAGCAACGAGTGTCTACATTGTGCTTTTGTAAGTTCTGAAGGCCATTTGCACCTGTTGTCTAATTTGTTCCCCATAATCACTTGTAAGTAAGATCAGGCATGTTTACAGGTAGAGAAAGGGAGAGAGCACATGCTCTAGAGTACATGGCAGTGAAGGAGTCCTTGGATTCATTTATTCACTCACTCATTCACCCATCCATTCCTTCATTCACCCCTCCATTCACTCATTCGTCCATCCGTTGGCTCGTTCTTTCATCAAACAGCAAGCGGCTCTCAGGGGTCAGGACCGTGCTAGGTTCTGGGAACTCATTGGTTAACAAGCTGAGGTATTTTTCTCTCCAGGAGTTCACCAGCTCCAGGGCAGGCCATTTGGGGCAGTGGCAAGAGAAGAGTCTAGAGCATGAGCAATGCCCGGCAGAAAACAAAACGGAGGGCGTTGTGTTGAGTTTGGATTTTGTCTTGAGGGTAGCGATGGAAGGATTTTAAGCTGGGAACTTGTGCTTATGAGGACAGCTCTGACTGCCAGTTTGAAGAATGGGCTGGAGAGACAAGAGTGGAGGTAGGGAGAGAGTTGTGGGGTGATTCGGGTGAAAAAGCATGGCTTCCTGGATTAGGATGTTGGCCCTGGAGATGGAATGGAGTGAGCAGTTGACAGATCAAGAGTGGAATTGACAGGGTTTGCTGGTTGGCGGACGGTGGAGAGTGAGGGAAGGTTTTAGGATGAGGGCAGGGTTTCTGACTTGGAGAACTAGGTGAGGCAGGGCCCTCTATGGTGCGGGTGAAGGCTACCTGAGGAGCCATTTGGGTGTGGGACATGAGAGCTCAGTTTTAGACATGTGGTGCTTGAAGTTCTAGTAAGACAGGGACAGGGACGGATATCGACTTCTGTGGACCTTTTGCCTCCAGACCCTGTGACCTACCCAGAATGCCTTGCTAATTGAGCACCTCCATCTGTAAAGAACACTCAGAAACCCAGAGACTGCCAGATCCGCCTTGGAAATCCCCCACTCCGTCCCCTCCACATTTCAGATGAGAAAACAGAGGCCAGAGAAAAGTTGTTCCTGGAAGGGGCTGGCCGAGCTCTACCCAGAGCACGGGGCTTCCCAGAAGGCCCCCTCCCTGCCATCCCACAGTCCTCCAGCCCAGAGGGCACACACCAAAAACTTGTGGCTCAATCCAGATTCTAGAAGGGCTCTGTTTGGCCTGCAACTAATTCAAACTAGTTGTCATCATTAAAACAACAACAACAAAACCAGAAGACCTGGCAACTTCAGGCTCCCGTGCCTACATGGCAGTGACCAGTGTGCCCCCTGGAGCGGTGCACTTCCCGTTTGCCTCAGTTCCCAGTCTTAACCCTTCACTGAAGCCATGTGCTATTTGCCATTTGTCAACAGGCTTCGCCTGTCATTTTTCTTAGAGGAAAGTCGCGTATTTTTTGCGGCATAACTAAAAGGTCTCTTATCTGTGCCCAGCTTGCTTCATTTCCCTGGCCTCCGAAAGCATTTGAGTTATGAGCCTACCCCTTCCCCTCTGTGAACCGCACGTCCCTCATTTGTAAAGTGAGGCCTTCGAACATGAACATGACGATTCCAAGGCCCTCCAAGTCTGCAATTCAGAAATGAGTTCTGCTATTGACAATACGTAATTGTTCTGCAGGTGGTTTTTGAGGGATTGCTCACCCTTGACTCTTTTGTCCTTGAATTATGATTTATCTAAGCTCTTGGAAGAAAAATGCCTTTTGTTTTGGGAGTTTATCCTTCATCTTTTGATTTTGAAAAAAAAAAATGAGTGCTTCAAACAATGCAGCGTAGCTTCTGTTGCTAGGAAGAGAGCAGAACCAGAGGCTGCCTGGAGACAGGGCCAGCAGAAAACTCTTGTCTCCCTGCCCTGCCCTCCCCCCCCCACTCCCCCTCCTCTATTCTCCCCTTCCATTTTCTCTCCTCCCCTTCTCTCCCCTTCCTTTTTCTTCCCTCCCCTATGCTCCCCTCCCCTCTCCTTCCCTCCCCTCTCCTCCGCTCCCCTCCCCTCTCCTTCCCTCCCCTCTCCTCCGCTCCCCTCCCCTCTCCTTCCTCCCTTCTCCTTCCCTTCCCTTCCCGCTTCCCCTTCTCCCTTCCCTTCCCCACCCTTTCTTTCCCCTCCCCACCCCTTCTCTTCTTTTCCTTTCCCTTCCCATCCTCCATGCCTCTCTCTCTTCTCTCTCTCTCTTATCTCTTTGAAGCAAAGATGTCAAAATCAATAATCTCTTCTAAAAAGATCAGTCTTATCGCCAACAGAGTTTAGGTTTCCCTGAATCCAGAGGGTTATTGCTAAAGACCACCCCCTCCCCAGTCAAACTATTAAATACTCAGTGAAATGAACTCTTGAGTTTTAATCCTGGCTCTGCCATTAGACAGTCATTTCACCTTGGGTAAGTAATTTATTTTCCTCTGGGCTTCAGTTTCCCCATCTATAACATGGAAGATTGGAGGAAATGCATGCTTTCGTCCTTCCTTAGAGCACTAACATTGTAGGAGACTGCCAGAGATTTAGAGAATAAGGCAGCACCAGCAGGTCTCTGTGACTCTCCTTCAAGGTCAGCAAGACCCTGATGCCTCTTCATTTTGAAGCCATAATACTCAGCAGTTAGTTTTTGGCTTCCTCTCCTCTGGGTATTTAGTGGGTGGTAAAGGAAGGATTTCTATCCACTCTTCTCAGTAGATGTAATGTGCCCCTGATATCTATCTTGCTAGGTAGTCTTAGCATCATTCCTTTGTTGTAGGACCTAAATATCTGTGATTATTTAATTCTTTCAAGTCCAGTGTCACCCTCAGACTCTGCAGGTCCCCAGCCAGGGAGATGGTGGGGATGATTTAAGCAACACGTGCGCCCCCTGGTGACCGATATAAAAATTGCAGACAGGCTCAGCCCTTCAACAAATAAAATCCTGCCTGAATTTAAATCCTGCCTCTGCCTAATCCTCAAGGTAGGATTTTAAAAAAGGGCAGATATGTCCTATAAAGTAATATACAGCCTACAACTAGGGAAGTTACTGTTTCTGAAGGTTGTATGTTCACTCCCAGAGACAGCTTTTGCCCATTTGACGTGTCTGCCCTGTTGGGGGGGCACGTATGTTGAGTTCCACACTGCCATCATCCAGTGGTGCCTGTTTCTCAGTGTGACAGTGTGGTCGGTTATTCCAGGACGTAATCAGCTCTCAGTTGTTGCAGGTGTAGAAACACATGTTGCAGGAGTCCTTCTTAGGACTTCTAGAAAAGGGTAGGGAGAAGGTTAGATTCACTTATTCAAATGATGAAATACTTACCGAGTACCTACTATGTATCAGAAACTTCCTAAGTGACAGGTGTACAAGTTGTGAACAAAACAAAGTCCTTGTCTTATGAGCTTCCATTATCTTGGGTGGGGGTGGGGGGAAACAAGCCCCAATACATCTTATCTAATCAAACATCCTCTGAGATTCACCAATTCCAAGTAATGGTAATCTGGTTTGGCAAAAATTTCTAACAACCATTTGGCCAGGGATGCGGGCCCTAAGGAGATTTAGTATATCTGGTTGAAAGCAACTGAGGCCCCAGGGCATCACTCTGACAGACAGGAGCCCTACCCCTGGAAGTTATTCTGGGTCCTGAAAGTAGAATCTGAAGGAGGCTGGTTCAAGGTCTTCATTTCCAGGTATATGAGAAGAGGAGAGAGAGAGAGGAAGGTATACGGACATCAGGAGCTGCATAGATTCACAAATCATCAGACCTGGAAGACCAGCTGAGAGATGCTCTCTTGTAATATTCCCATTTTAGAAACAAAGTAACTGAGATCCAGAGAGAAGTACCGTGGTTGAAATCACAATCCATGATCATTAGCACAGTGGAATTAAAAATTGAATTCATATGTATTGATAAGGAGAACAATCATATTACAAATAAGGGTAAATAGTATGTTTCCAGTTTCGATTAAAAATTGTATGTGGGTGGGGCTTCTGGGTGGCTCAGTTGGTTAAACTTCCAACTCTTGATCTCAGCTCAGGTCTTAATTTCAGGTCTTTTAAAAAAATCTTTAATTAATTAATTGATTATTTATTTTTGAGAGACAGAGAGAACATGAGAGCAAGTAGGATGGGGGCAGAGAGAGATACAGAGAGAGAATCCCAAGCAGGCTCCGCACTGTCAGTGCAGAGCTCAACATAAAGCTTGAACCCATGAACTGTGAAATCCTGCCCTGAGCTGAAATCAAGAGTCAGACACTCAACCAACTGAGCCACTCAGGCATCCCTTGATTTTAAGTCTTGATCTGAGGGTGTGAGTTCAAGCCCTGCACTGGCTCTGTGCTGGGTGTGAAGCCTACTTAAAAAAAAAGAAAAAAAATCGTATGCTATATTTTGGAGGTGAAGTTGCAAGGGTTTAAATTTTTTTTGACACACATTGATGTACTTTAAAAATATTCTACAGTGAGAGTACATAATTATAAAATAAAAATAAACATTATTCAAAAGAACTTATATTTTCTTTTTCTTTTTTAAGTTTATTTATTTTTATGGTGGGGGGGGGAGGGACAGAGGGAGAGGGAATGAGAGGATCCCAAGCAGGTTCTGCTCTGTCAGTACAGAGCCTGATGCAGGGCTCGAACCCACAAACTGTGAGATCATGACCTGAGCCACTCAGGTGATTAATGGACTTAGCCACTCAGGTGCGCCAGAACTTGTATTTTCAACGATTCAAGGGAAACAAACCAAAACCAAAACCCAACTAGCAGTGGTGGAATATATATATATATACACATACATATATATGTATATATACATATATATATACACATACACATATACATATATATGTATATATATGTATATATATTTCTTTTTTTTCTTTCCACGTTCATGATTCTTCTGCATTATATTTAATAACTGTTGTAGACATTGCTTGTCTTCCCAATATGCAGTTCTTCACTCATTCTGGGCGTACAGCAGGATTCCCTTCCTTGGGGCTTATTCTCCCTTGGCACTTGCATTTATTGTACTACTAATTCTGCCCAGTAGGTTGCGATCTGTGTGATCAATGGAAATGGCCAGAGGTTGCCTTAGGGCTACAGCATTTAACTTCCAGGGCAAGTCTCTCCAGCATCAGTAAACTCTAAACCTTAGGTTGAGATGGAAGTACCTTAAGATGGAAGTTTCCTGGGGCTCCTGGGTGGCTCAGTCAGTTAAACGTCTGACTTTGGCTCAGGTCATATCTCACGGTTCATGGGTTCAAACCCCCGCGTCGGGCGCTGTGCTGATGGCTAGCTCAGAGCCTGAAGCCTGTTTCAGATTCTGTATCTCCCTCTCTCTCTGACCCTCCCCTGCTCACACTGCCTCTCTCTCTCTCACAGAAATAAATAAGATGGAAGTTTCCTGCACTGCTGAGTGGGGTGGACCTGGAGGACAGCAGGTCTGAACGTGCTCAGACATGTTATGGACTTTGTATGAAAAGGAAATAAACTTGTTCTGTGTTACGTCGCTGAGATTCTGGTGGTGTTTGTTACCACAGCATTCCCTAGTCTATAACGACCAATACAGCAGCACATACCAATTTATATGGTAAAAAGAATCATTACCATTTTGTAAAATGTAATCAATTAAATGTACAATATTCAGAAATTTTTGTGTCAAATTTCACATTAAATTATATGTGTAGTGAATAACCATCCTCCATTTGATTTAAAATCAAGATCATTTTTGGTTCCCATTGAGGAATATTGATGTGTAATGACTAGTTAACTGAATTGCAGACTTGTACCATTGGGAGGGGTCTCAGGGTTTCATCTTGTACATCCTACAAGTTCATATAGAGGGATATCAATACCGTCCACTACAAATCAGTACAAATGAACTATTTGAACTAGCGGATTGCAAAACCTTAATAACCAGTCATACCAGGAGCGCTTTATGACAATCGAGACTTTGCAGTTACACTTCTGGGGTTTTGGTTAAGGAGGCCTTAGTACAGGACTCAGGCAATGGCATTTTGAGAAGCCTGCTGTGTGATATCAATCCCAGGTCTGGGAATCCCTAGTCAAGAGGGTGACTTCAAATTCCATTTGTGATTACTTCAATTTACATTTCATTTAAGTTTTGTGCCCATGTTGAAATTGAAATCACCTTTGCAACCTCGGGTGAGGTTCTCCAGAAGTGGGGGATTCCTGTGCACACGATTCATGAAGCTGTGCGCTCCGGAGGAACCCATAGGGAACGAGGAAAGTCAGACAGGGAAGAAGAAGACTGCCCCAGAATATGTCAGCAGAGGCCCGCCTCAGCATCATCTTGCAGGGAGCTCTGGTATGCAAATGTCACCATACACTGGTCCCAGCTGGAGCCAAGGGATCTTGGCTTTTATACACCCCCAATGATGGGCAGTCATCGGTCACAGGCAGCCTGGACTGGGGGTAATGTAAACTATGAGGTGGATCCATTCAGCCAAGGATAACTCGCTGGTGGGGTAGCAAATGTGAACCTTTAGCAAGAACTGAGTTGGCAGCTGGGGGTAAGTGTAGCAAACTGGGAAAGGGATCTCAGGGGCGCCTATGTCTGCTTTGGTTCAACTCTAACACCACTTAGATGCACTTGCTTCACTTCACCTTATCTCAGCTTCTCCAGGACTCTAGATAGCCACAAGTCGTAGTGAAAGTTGCAGGGGAGGGATATAAGGTGGGTTTCAGTCCACAGTTCTGTGGCTGGTCCCAAAGCTGCAAAAATACTTATCACCTCCTTTCTGTACCACCCATTACAGATTCTCTTCACCTCTTGTTGGATATCCTTTTTTTTTTTTTTAACTTTATTTATTTATTTTGAGTGGGGGAAGGGCAGAGAGAGAAGGGGAGAGAGAATCCCAAGCAGGATTCTCCGTGAAGCTCCGTGCTCAGCATGGAGCCCAACATGGGGCTTAATCCCACTACCGTGAGACCATGACCTGAGCCAAAGTCAAGAGTCGGCTGCTTAACCGACTGAGCCACCCAGGTGTCCCTCTTCTAGCATTTCTGTTGGTCTAGGTGGCTTGACTGGTGGAGTAACCTAGACACTCTGGGTCTGAACCTCTTTTTATCATGTTCTTACTAGGTCATGGTTACTACCTTTTGCCCATTTACAGTTAAACTTGGCATAGGAGTAAGAAGGGACACCCCAATGGCAAACATATTCCTTTCTACCCCCACTATGGTAGCAACCCTACCCCCTCATGTAAAGACCAATTACTCCTGGGAATATGGTGGTGTGTTTCTTTGGCTACTGGTGTACTGGCACAGAGAATTCAAAGTGTCGAGGAGGCAGCCATAATTTTAAGTTCAATGAGACTCTTATTTGGTTCCCTGGTGTAAGCATGCTCCCTCTGGGGACCTCTAGATTCCCAGAGTCCGGGATATGGGGAGCACCGATTCCTTAAGTGGGTCTCTGGGAGTAAAGGTAAGTGGGGCCACTCTCACTTTGATTTCCTCGTTCCTGGACCCAAGTATGCTACCCACGGAGGACATTCCACCTACAGAGGCCATTGGTTTGAGAATACCTGGCTCTTCAGCTGCAACTTTAAGAGGCCAACTCACCACTATCAGGTTGGCCCCTTTGGGATGATGTGGTATATGATAAGAGCAGTGGATTCCACATGCCCCCTGCTTTTTTCTTTGGCCGTTGATAGGGTTCCTTGGTCCAAAGCAATGTTATCTGTATTTTCTTGTTAGTCAATGAGATACTCTGCAGGGATGGACTGGAGCGAGGTCAGGGGTGCCTAGGATGCAATCTTTAGGATATCACTCCCTCTTTTGTACTCCAGATGCTTCACTTGCCTCACCTTGGTCCTGGCCTTGACTCTGAGCCCTGGGATATCGGCCCTGGTGGAGGCCCTGGAGGCAGGAATGGCAAACTGAAATATGAGAATATGTGTCAATCCTAGTCAGGATGAATTGCTGCCAGTTCCAGGATGGAAGCTTCCAATCATAGCCCACATGTCAATAGGTTGCTTGTTGGCCTCCTTGAGGGGCAGGAGTTTTAGAGTTTCGGTCTTCATTGCTGATGGATTGGACGTCAGAAGCAGCAGTGGCCAGATCGGCCTTGGTGAGAGGGATATGGTGCTGCCGGGCACAGGCATAACCTGCACCTCTTGTCATCATGGCTGGTCCACTCATATCCCACTTCACCAACACTAAGGTGGGCAAGGACAGACGCTGGCCAACATCTAATGGAGCCTGTCTGCTTGCTTATTTCACACATCTTCTGCAGTGGGTGCCCTCTGGTGGGCATTAACGTGCGAGACAAAGCATACAGTTCATAAGTGGCTCTTAGTATATTCACAGAGCTGGGCAAACATCACCACAATCCAATTTTAAAATTTTTCTTTTAATGTTTTTATTTTTGAGAGGGAGAGAGAGACAGAGTGTGAGTGGGGGAAGGGCAGAGAGAGACACACGCACACAGAATCTGAAACAGGATCCAGGCTCTGAACTGTCCTCACAGAGCCACACAGAGTCCCGATGCCGGGCTCCAACCCACGAACCGCGAGATCATGACCTGAGTCAAAATCAGACGCTTAACCGACTGAGCCACCCAGGCACCCCACCACAATCCGATTTTAGAACATTTCATTGCCCCAGAAAGAAACTCTGTATCCTTTAGCAATTAGTTATTCCCCATTCCTGCCCCTCTCCCCCTTCCCTTCACCCCGCCCCCAGGCAGCCACTCATCTCTTTCTGTCTCTGTGGATTTCTCTCTTCTGGGTGTTTCACATAAATGGAATCATATAATATGTGGTCTCTTATGTCTGATTTCTTTCACTGAATGTAATAGTTTCAAGATTCATCCACGTCATGGCATGTTTATTACCTCCTTATTTTTGTTGCCAAATGCTAGGCCATTTTATGGACGTACATTTTGTTAATCCACACATCAACTGATGAATGTTAAGGTTGTTTCCACCTTTTCGCTATTAAGAGTAAGGCTGCGGTGAATGTTTATGCACGTTTTTGAGTCGACATATATTTTCACTTCTTTTGGGTATATACCTAAGAGTGGAATTGCTGGGTCAGACGGTAACGCTGTTTAGCATTTGGAGGAACTGCCAAACTTCCCCTGCGGCTACACTAGCTTACATTCCCTCCAGCAATGCACGAGTGTTCCTCGTTTCTGCCTCAGATACCTCCACTACCATGGGATCTGTGGGCCATACGGCCCAAGTGCCAGGGTTACACATAGTGCAGATTGAAATTGCTACAGAGTGCTTTCTGGCTTTAGGTTACCCTCAAAACTGGCATCCTTTCCCATCACGGTGGGTCAGAGCAGTATCCCCGGGGCGAAATGTGCTGCTTCCAAAACCCAAAGAGGCTTAGCAAGCCTTGCACTTCTTTCTTGGGGGCAGGAGGTGTAAGGTACAATATTTTGTCTTTGACTTTGATGGGGGGTGTCCCAGCATGCCTAAAACCACCAAACCCTGAAAACATCATAGATAAGGCAGGCGGGGCCTTGAGTTTTTATATATTTATTTCCTAGATATCCAGAGTACTTGTCACTTCTTGATCAGCAGGTCAAATTAATATGATGGCATCAATATAATGGGCCGATACGGTTATTTTCTGGAATGCCCGGATGGCTCATGTCTCTTCCGAATATTTTGCGACAGAGAGCATAAGTGTTGTATATACTCTTGTGCATCCTCCCTGAAACAAATTTCTTCCGACTCTTCCTGATGGGTATTAAAAAGAATGCTTTTGCCAGGTCAAAAGCAATACCATATACCAGAGGCCAGGTGACTGTGTTCTGGTAAAGAGAACAAATATAGCACGGCATCTGCCCTTGGCACCTCTACTTGGTAGATGTAAGTAGTCCATTGTCATCTACCATGTTCATCTCCTTTGTACAGGGGCCAGGCCAGTGGACTAAATGCAACCTTTAAATATTTGAAAGGAGTACCAATCTCTGCCATTTCCCCTGGATTGCAACTTTTAAAAATCTTATTCTTTTGGCTAGTAAAGGTATATTTCAGGGACTTCTAAAATTATATGATCTTTCATCCTACAATAGCTTTTACTCCCTAGGTTAAGGAACCAGTATGGGGCTTTTGGTAACTGCTAAGGAAGACCATTCCAGTTATATATATTGAAGGGCTGGAGAAATGACCACCAGTTGGTCTGTGAACTCTGTGGGTTCACTGTGAGACAGACCTGGCTTAGCACTCCATTTATTACTTGACTCCCATGTACCACTTCTCTAATGGGGGACAAGTGTGGCATTTCAGTTCCCTGGGTTTCTGGGTCAACCCAGACTCTGTATATAATAGCCCTCAAAAGATCCAGGCATTCTCCTTTACCCTGACATTGTATTATCCTCAGTACTGGCAGTTACTCAAATACTTTGGAAGGACTGGAAGAATCATTACATACTTAAATGTGGTATTTCAATTCCCCAAGGAGACTCAGCCTTTCTTTCTTTAAAAAAAAAAAATTAGGGGTGCCTGGGTGGCTCATTCGGTTAAGCATCCG